CAGACTGCCACCACAAAACACAGCCGCAGAGACAAGAGGTTTCATTCATCCAGCCCTAAACCTTACCCACTAGCAACTATCTCGGCTCATCAATTCTGCTCTCTACACCCCCCCGGTCATCCTATTTTCTCTTACTGTCACCTTCGTTTGCCCCCTAAAACTTTACTATTGGCCCCTTAACCCTATTTGGTTTTCGTTGCTATTCTTCCTCGTCTATTCACAGACCCCTTTTCCCACTCTTCTGCCTTCTCTCCGACTGATCACTGCTGACCCACTACAGTCGTCAACATCGTCAAGATAGCCGCCCCCGACCCAACGACACGACCCTCCAGCGTGGCCGGCTTCCACCACCGCCTTCACCACCCTCATCATTAATATCAAACCTCAAAACCTGAATGTTGAGGGAGAAAAATTAAAACTCCTTTTACAAAAAAAAAAAAAAAAAAAAGAGAGGAAAAATGAAAAAAGAAAAAAAAAGGCGCTCGAACGCAGACATTTCTAAATTGTCTGCCTTTTCTCCTTCCCTCTCTACAACCTCTTCCTCTTCCTCACACTCTCACTCACACTCTTTGTCTCTTTTCTTCTCCCCCTCTCTCTCTCTCGCTCTCTCTATTTCTCTTTCTTTCCTTTTACTAACTTCCCCACTTGCGTCCTCTCTAGCACATGCATGTCACAAAAAATCAATCCCCAAACACACAGATGCAAGACCGCGAATCAAATATGCACACTCATACGTACGCACGTGCGCATAAATTACAGGAACACACACACACACACACACACACACACACACACACACACACACACACACACGACTAGTAACTTGAGGGTTTCTTTTGGTTCAATGGCGAGCAAACTCGTTTCGTTGGTCAATTTGCTAGTATAAGGAATCCGATCCTCACTGGGTGCCTCACTTCTATCGCCTTGTTTCAGCTTATTAAATAACTAAAAGCGCGTCTGTCATGGTGAAATTGAAGTCCTGCTCATCTATTCGCTGATGCAATGAGTTTAATCTTCATTGGATTCCCAATATCTATGGCCTTGTATCTAACTTAGCTAATAATCATAATGACTGCTTGTACTCGCATAGTCATATGTACTTTAATTATACACACACGCATACATCTACGCATAATGAAGTATGATTAATATCGATCTTCTAAGCCTAGCCTAGTCTAACATAGGGCTACTTGTGTAGGGCGCCCTGTGAGGGTCTAAATCACTACATGATCGTAATAGTTTGTTAGGGTATATATGTACTAAGTTTAACCTATTCTAAATGTAAAGAGCAAGTTCCAGTCAGAGGGCTTTTGATTATTTTGGGTTAGTAAAGGGCCAATCGTTATGTATCCCCCCTTCTCCTATAACCTCCTCTTTCATTCATATCACATACCGCATTCATTATAACAAGTTTAAATATAACCCTCTAACTTGAGTTGCTCTCGAACAGTTTGGACACACGGCCACAGATATAACAGACACAGTGGAGCTTGAACTCACGATTTAGCGGTAATGATCCTCCAGATCATCTTGCTAACCTATGAATCACGTTGAGGAGTCTAGCTTGACTGTGGCTCAAGGTTACAAGTATGGATCGTCAGTGATGATCAAATTCACTACTCAATAAAAATACGCTATCAGACTAGCTCGTTAACCATTACATAAGAGTAAATCCTCATCGCTCTAAACGCTAATATTCATTAAGCCTAGTTTAATCTTTATATCTAACGCTATTGGTATAATGTAACCCATCTCTTATTGCAGTATTGGCGATTAAATTGGTCTCCCCACCAGGCTTTTCAGGTGACGACGGTGGCTAGACAACAGAATTTATCTCCTGGTGGGGTCAACGATTATCTAACAAATTGATTTTCAACCGGTGTGTCACGAGAGGATCGTAGGTACCGCGAGAATTTTTAATTTAATTTTTTTAAATTAAAATTAATTTTTTTTTAATTTAAAATTTTTAATTACAGGTTATTAATTAATTTATTTTCGAAAGAAGTCCAAAGCATAATAAGTGTATATATCAACATTTAAATTAAGTTATTGTCATAATAAATAAACGTATACGTAATATATAAAGTGGGTGGGTTTTGAACACCCTTAATAAGAGTTTGCAAAGAAATAATGAAAATATCCTCAGAAAAATTACACATCTAGAAAGGACAAATTAAACGGGAAAAAGCCACAAGTAAAAGTCACAGGTAAAAAGTCACATGGGAAAGTAACAGGTAAAAAGTCACAGATAGAAAGTCACAGGAAAAACGTCACGGGTAAAAAAAAAGATCACGGTAAAAAGTCACATGGTAAAAGTCACATGGTAAAAGTCACAGGTAAAAAGTCACATGGGAAAGTAACAGATAAAAAGTCACAGATAAAAAGTCACAGATAAAAAGTCACAGGAAAAACGTCACGGGTAAAAAAAGATCACGGGTAAAGTCACATGGTAAAAGTCACAGGTAAAAGAGTCACAGGTAAAAAGTCACATGAGAAAGTAGCAGGTAAAAAAGTTACAGGTAAAAATGTCACAGGAAAAATGTCACAGTTAAAAAAAAGATCACGGAAAAAAGTCACGGGAAAAATGTCGCGTAAAAAGTCACAGGAAAAAGAAACAGGAAAATGTTAGCACTGTTTCAGCGTCTTTAATAGAAAGGCCAACTATCAAATTCTCACTTTTTAGAGGTTAATATGTCAATCAGTTTCCTTAATGGAATATGCAGAATTGATGATAAATTAATGAGTTTTGCTTTAAAACTGTGAAATAGAACAAAAATATTAGATTTTTCTATAATTGGGGCAGCATCAGATTGGAAAGATTCCAACATCTACCAAGTGTGGAATAATAAATTCTTCAACCTCGTTGGTCATTACCATCCTTCGGTCTGGCGTGTCATAGAATGGTTTCAACGTGAAGAATCGACAGTAAGCACCATTATCCAGCAGTATCCTGTTGGGACCCTCACCGCTTCAAAGAAGAGTTCATCAACGCTACGTGCAGCTATAAGAACGCCTTCGCAACTTGTGTATTGTTCGACAGGAAGACCACAATTTTCCAAATCGTGTAACAGCAAAATTTTCCAGATCGTGTAACAGCAAAATTTTCCAAATTGTGTAACAGCAAAATTTTCTAGATGGTGTAGCAGCAAAATTTTCCAAATCGTGTAACAGCAAAATTTTCCAAATCGTTTAACAGCAAAATTTTCCAAATTGTGTAACAGCAAAATTTTCCAGATGGTATAACAGCAAAATTTTCCAGATCGTGTAACAGCAAAATTTTCCAAATCGTGTAACAGCAAAATTTTCCAAATCGTGTAACAGCAAAATTTTCCAGATGGTGTAACAGCAAAATTGGCCATCGCCCAAATTTTTAACATATGAAAAAATCACTAAACTAATTGAGTTTCATTTTTCCAGGTGTTCAGATAAGACGTTTAACCATCTTGACACCATTTGTCGTAAGAATCAGTGAAAAACCCTTTGAGTTATTCAATTAGAAATTCAGCAGGTTAAAATTCGTTTTGTATCAGACCCAGTCATCCCAACTGAGCAATGGTGAGAGCAAAAAGATCATTCAGGCCTTCAGTAATGGTACCAACAATCATACGCTGGCTTCCATCTTCAAAGTCCATTCAAGAACAATCAAAAGATCGGTGAATAAGTTGTACAAAGAGGGAACGGTAGAGAAGAAAATTGGATCAGGAGGTCACAACAGAAAGAAGGATCAACATTTCAACTTAGAGCTAAAGAGATCAATTAGAAAAGATCCAACTCAATCCATAAGACGTTTGGCACGAGAGAAAAGAGTTTCAGCGATGATAGTCCAAAGAGTAGTGAAAAAAGACTTGAAAATGAAACCGTACATGAAACCTGGACAGAAAGTTAGGATTTTAGAGAGGGCGAAGACCATCTTGGATCAGTTGGAAAATTATCCTGGAATAATACGTACACACACACACACGCACACACACACACGCAAGCACACACACATACGCAAACGCACACACACACACATATATATATATATATATATATATATATATATATATATATATATATATATATATATATATATATATAAACTTTATTTCAATCCTTCATGAGCTTCCGATTTTTAGCTATGATTAATTAATAATGAACATGTCATTTTCGTTTATGATCGATTTCATCACAATTCTTCTGTTAAGCTTGGAAAGGAATTATACATTCTTATTGTTCAAAGTAGAGTCCAATTGTGTTATAAAAACCTCGGAGAATTCCAGTAAGATATCTTTAATCATTTCTAAGATAGAACGGTCCAGAGCTTAAACTAACAATTGGACAATTTTACTGTTACACGATTTGGGCAATTTTACTGTTACACGATTTGGACAATTTTGCTGTTACACCCTGTACATGTAAAAATAAATATTTAACATACAAATTATAAACATTTAAATTAATTCCGACTTTTTTCCTATGGTTTTTTTCCTACTCAAAATTGTAAGTTTTTTCCCAGTAACTTTATTACTGTCCACGCACATGACATATGATCTTTAGATTGGGTAGGAAATTCCTTTGTTTTAATTGCGTGTATGTCAGCAAATTTGAATATTACTGAACAGGAAGAGTTAATACAAAAAAAGAGACGATAGTGGATTTGAAATATTAAACCACAGATATTACGTCATTTTGGTCATTCCTTTAGGGTGAATTTCTAAATATTACAAAAAAAAAGCAAGAGAAATAATTCTTCTGTTCTCAATGGCATATTCTTGCAAAACAAGATTTTTCTGCAATAAATAATATTAAAAATCACGGCTAGAATCTTTGAAAAACGATTTAAAAGTATGCCTGTCCAAAATTCGACTTTGCAAATAAGATATTCTTAAAAAAAAAGTCAAGCTCAGATATACCAATAAATATTAAATTATAATAAATAGAAAAAAATAATATAATTTTTTAAAAGAAACAGCAGTAGTGTGTCTGTGGTAAGTTAACCTGACGCAATCCATCCCTCTTCAGGCTGTTTTGGAATCCTGAATTTCTCTCTGCAATACTGGCTGCCAATTCAAGGCAAGCAAACCTAGTAAAGAAAGAAAGAAAGAAAGAAAGAAAGAAAGAAAGAAAGAAAAAGAAAGAAAGAATGTGAAAGAAAGAAAGAAAGAAAGAATAATATTGTGAAAGAAAGAAAGAAAGAAAGAAAGAAAGAAAGAAAGAAAGAAAGAAAGAAAGAAAGAAAGAAAGAATGGGAAAATATTACGAAGAATGGATAATATTAAAAATAAGAATGGAAGGGAAAATATTAAGAAAGAAAGAAAGAAAGAAAGAAAGAAAGAAAGAAAGAAAGAAAGAAAAGGAAATATTAAAAAAGAATGGATAATATTAAAAATAAGAAAGGAAGGGAAAATATTAAGAAAGAAAGAAAGAAAGAATAGATTTAAAATAAGAATAGAAAGATAATTTCTTTCTTTTTTGTTTTGTTTTGGGAGATCTTGGTTATTGGTCGTAAAATCCACGATCCCCCCGTGGTGTAAATAATTACTTGTAAAAGGTCAATGCCGATTAATCGCACCCTTTGATCTGGGGTCTGAGCCTCCCGCCATAAGGTCTCCCATTAAGGATGCTCTCCGCCCCAGTTCGAACTTCGGCTAGAATATGATTTTAAAAACGACATCCCTCGTTTGCCATAGCCGCAAATGTGCTTGACTGCTACCCCCAGCCCCACTTCATTTATCTTTACAGTCTCTTGCAGTCGTCAATCGAGTTTTCCCGCTTCTCATCTCATTTGCCAAACGACCCCAATGCAGCTGCCTTGAACTAAGAAGCCATTTGCTTAATACTTTCGCCATCTTGTTCTTTCTCTGTCTCTCACAATAGTTCTTGTTTTTTCAGACTGTCTCTTAGTTTCCCTCTTTTTCATTAAATATCGCACTCTCAGACATTTCATTTTTACTTTCCCTATTTCTCTCTCACCCACACACTCTCTCATTGTCTCACTTTCTCAAACTGTTACTTATTCTCACTCTCCTGTTCTTTCTCTCACTCTCTTTCTGTTTCTATGACTCCGACAATCTTTTTTTCTCTTTCTTTCTCTCTCCCTTATTTTCACCTTCTTTCTTTCTTTTTTTCTTTCTTTCTTTCTTTCTTGATTTCTTTCTTGATTTCTTTCTTTCTTTCCATAACGCAGCCCTCTCTCTCTCACTTTCACTCTTATCCAGTATCTCTCTCCCCTCTCTCTTACTCATTCCCACACTTATTTTCACTTTCATTTTTTTCTCATAGACAGACTGGTTCTCTCTCTCTCTCTCTCTCTCTCTCTCTTTCTCTCTCTCTCTTCAAACTATCTCTCGCTTGAACTCTCACATTCCCCATCTCAGATTCAATTTATAGGTTTCTATCAATATATCTCTCTCTTTCACACACACACACACACACACACACACATATACATGCGCAAGCACGCACTCTCTCTCACGCTAAGGTTCACACTCTCCTTCTCATAGTGTCTCCCGTTTTCTGACACTCTCTCGAATACCCTTGGGTTTTCAATTTCTCTCCGTTACTGTTTTGTATTATTTATTTTATTTTGTCTTCAGTTATGAATTATTTTTTTACGTTTTTATTTTTCTCTGCTGACACACTTTTCGCAAGAACCCCCTCCCTCCCAGCATATCACCCCTTCTCTTTCTGTCTCCTTCTTTCCAGCACTCACCCTCTGCTTCTCTTAGTCTGTCTCCCTTTTATCAAACCCACTTCTCTCCCACACTTTTCCTGTCTCACTCTTCTATTTCCTTTTATCTCTTATTTAATCTATCCCTCTCAGTCTCTTAATATCTATCTATTTATCCACTGTCTGTAATCTATCTATCTATCTATCTATCTATCTATCTATCTATCTATCTATCTATCTATCTATCTATCTATCACAGGCTGCAGTCTATCTATCTATCTATCTATCTATCTATCTATCTATCTATCTATCACAGGCTGCAGTCTATCTATCTATCTATCTCTATCTATCTATCTATCTATCTATCTATCTATCTATCTGCGCGTGTGTGTGTTTTTGAGTGTGTTTCTAATATAAAAAAACAAGTGATACATAAGGTTTCCTATCTATCTAAGGCTTATGGACATATGTTGAAACATTGATCTTCGTACAATCAGTGAAGTTAAACAACGTCGAGCCTGGTTAGTAACAAGATGGGTGACCGCTTGGGAATACCAGGTGCTATAAACATGGATGTGCACGTGGTGCAATGGATAACTGCTCGTAACTGGAAATCTGAGAGCCGAGTTCTAATTCTGATAGAGTTCGTTACATTCACTTACATGCAAATGCAATTAGGAAAGGCGGGAATACGCATCTTCTGCCCCCACCCCGTTAAATAGTAGAACTTGTATCAGTAAATCATTATTATCAACCCCACAAAAAATTCTTGCAATCTAAAAATATATCCTGGCCTTAAATAATTTGTAAATGGTTGATAAGCCGTGAAAAAATAAGAAATCAATCAATAAATGAAATTCATCTATCAAAATACTGACCGAAAATAAAATTCTAACACCCTAAAAGATTTTCATCTGGTGTTAATCTGTGTATCCAGATGTACACGAAATATTCTGATAACATTCTAAAGGTATTCAGGCATCTGTTCCATTTGTGTCTGAAATTTAGACAGTCATGCATTCTGTGATAATGTAGGTGAGAATGAGAGCGTTTGATGTAAGCAGTCGTTATATCGCCGAGATGCATACATGGATGTTTGAGAAGGAAGTCGGACTGTGGGCTTTTAGGGACGTTGTAAGGCAATTTCGGAGACTAACTGCGTATATTGGATCACATGCATGGATAAGTTCTGGGGAGCCACGTCCGACAGAAGCTCGTCAAAATAAAAATATAAGGATAGCAGTGGCACACCATACGGAACCAATATGGCCCCAAAACTAAAATATAAGTACTGCAGTGGTAGACCAAACGGAACTGATGGGGGTCTAAAATTAAAATATAAAGATTGCAATGGCTGACCATATGGAACTAATATGGCCCCAAAACAAAAATATAAGTACTGCAGTGGTAGACCAAAGGGAACCGATGGGTCTCTAAAATTCCAATGTAAGAATAGCAGTGGCAGACTATACGGGACCAATATGGCTTCAAAAGTTAAATATAAGTACTGCAGTGGTAGACCAAAGGGGAGCGATGGATCTCTAAAATTCTATTATAAGTTTTGCAGTGGGAGACCATACGGGACAAATATGGCTCCAAAAGCAAAATATAAGTACTGGAGCGGTAGACCAAAACAAATCGATTGGGCTCTTAAATTAAAATATAAGGATAGCAGTAGCAGACCATACGGAGCCAATAGGGCTCCAAAACTAAACTATAAGTACTTTAGTGGTAGACCAAATCTAATCGATTGAGCTCTGAAATTAAAATATAAGTGTAGCAGTGGCAGATCATACGGAACCAATATGGCTCCAAAACTAAAATATAAGTACTGCAGTGGTAGAACAAATGGAACCCATGGGTCTCTAAAATTTAAATATATGTATAGCAGTGACAGTTATGACGGAAACAATTTGATTCCCAAATTAAAATATAACCTTGCCATGGCAGACAACCGGATCCAAAGTGCGTCGAATATTATAATATAAAGGTAGTAGTAAAAATGATTTAATGCCCTGCTACCGGTTTAATGGTTTAATTTCGAGTATTTTTATATCTACCTTGAATCATTACATAGCAATTATTTACAAATATTGACACAGGAGCTAAGGCCGAAGTATTGTAATTGCTCATGAACGTAGTGCTCTTGCACTCTCTTTATTTCTCTCTGTATACACTTCTTCTTCTTCTCTTTCTCGTTGTCTCCGTTTATCTCTACATCTCTGTTTTTTAATTCCTTTTTTTTCAACTTTTTCCTCTACTCTTTCTCTACCCTTCACTCTCTTTTCTTTCACTTTTTTGTACTCTCGTTATTTTCTGTCTAGACGTCCCCTATTTCTTTTTCTTCTATTAATCTACTTCTCTCTCTCTCTCTTTCTACATCTATTTTTTTATTCCTTTCTCTCATTCTTCCTTTCCTTCTCTCACAACACCCTCTCTCTCTCTCTTTTATTTCCGTTTCTCTCACACTACTTTGATGTCTATCTCTACACCTGCTCAATCTATTTATTACTCTCTCAGCATCTCTCTCTTTTTTCTTCTCTTTCTTCTACTCTCTCATTCTCTCTCTACACGTTTTTTTCTCTCTCTCTTCCCCTTCTCTTTCCCACCCTTTACCTCTCCCTGCATTTATCTTTTTCCTTTCTCTCACTCCCCCTTTCTCTCTTTCTACACCCCTTTTTCTTTTTTCTTTCCGTTTCTCTCACACTTTTTTTACATCCCTCTACACATCTGCCGTTCTTTCTCTATATATATTTCTCTTTCTACCCCACTCTCTATTTCCCTTTCATTTCTCTCACTCTCCTTTTATCTCTCTCTACACCCGTACCTCTCTTTTTGTTTCCCTCTCTCTTTCTCTCTCTTTCTCGCCACACCTAACTCTCTTAGACGATCTCTTTATTCTTTCACTTTCTCTCACTCCCCTTTTTCTCTCACTATTGAGTCCGGTTACAATGCGGGTAACTGACGACTTGGCAGACGACACTTTTTAATTTTTAAGAGTTTTCTTTTTCCCTACTCGAATCCGCCCTCATTAACACTGATTCGTCCTTTCTTCTTTTTCTTTTTCTTCTTCTTCTTCTTCTTCTTCTTCTTCTTCTTCTTCTTCTTCTTATTATTATTATTATTATTATTATTATTATTTATTCAGTTATTTATTTATTTTTAGGCATAAGTCTTCTGTTTCAACATCATCCATTACAAGAACAATGTTTCAACCGATGTTCCTGACAGGTCCATTTCGCCTTTCGGCTTTCCCTGCAGCTTGCTTCCATTTTTTTCTTTCTTTCTAAAAGAAGGAGGTAGACAGCCACAATGGTCACTCTCCAGTATTTACACGCGGCGTAAGGAAGCTATCAATCTTTCCTTATTCATAAAAGAGTTCCTAATATAGTTAAGCGTTCGTTCTTTACGGTTCATTTAATTTTTTTTTTCTTCGAAGAGATCTTTAGCAGCATTAGGTCACCGCATTAATATTCTTAGATATGTGCGTTTATCCAAGAATAGATACTTATGAGACTTAGCTATATATAGCACATGCTCAAAGGTGAGGGATACCCAGTGTGGATCTAACTGCACACAGAAATTGGTTTGCGTTACTTGATAGTTCGTAGCTGATCACAGGGGGAACGTTTTAATTAATTGAACTAAGTTTTCAATGGAATCTTGTAATAGTATAGGACGTGAGTTAGGGTCGAAACACCACAGGATTAATGGCTTGAGAGATGTGTTTGGTAACCAATACGCGATGGCGAAGCGGTGGCATAAGGGATAGCGGCTCGGACTGAGAAATCGAAGAGCAGAGTTCGAATTCCAGTCGAGTTTCTTACATATGTGCAAATACCTTTGGGAAAGTTATGAATTTATCGTTTCTCTGCATTGCATCGTATTATGAATAAATAGCAGATCAGCCTAAGCCTTACAGCCTTGGTTGGCAACCAGCCTAGGGGAAGGATGACTCGGATTTCAAAACCCGAGAAACTTTTTGGAGACCTTGTGGCATACTATATGCATAAGTTCTCTGCGTTTGTTTCTTAAAAGTGTGGCTGGTTTTGGACAGGCTTTTACCACTATAAACAAATCTTATGTGAGAAGAGTCTGGCTGATCGATTCTAAGAACTGATTGCTAAATCAACCTTATGTTCTTTTAATATTTTTTATATCTTTGAACTGTTGGCAAAAGTGAAAAATGAGATCAAGGCTCACTACAAATACGAGCAATAAAACATGAAAAGAACATAAATTAAATTTATTACTTTAAAATTTATTCCTTTTATTTGCCTGAAGAAGATCACGAGACCGGAAACACGTGTAGCAGAAATATGAAGAATGAAATATAATATATACACTAAAACAAATCCACATTATAACCAAAAACGTTTGCGGTTTCTCTCTTTTTTAAAATATACATTTTTCTCTCGTTGGAACAACTATAACCATTTCCTATATATATATATATATATATATATATATATATATATATATATATATATATATATATATAGTTTTAGACATCTTCTGTCTGCTCATTTTCGTTAAGATCTTTTATACTCTCGGATAAGTTTTTTGCTGTCATGACTGACAGACGAAAGAAAATCACCGTGTTTATACACATTTGTTTTATTATCAAGTACTTTCGACATATCCATTTTCTCATCAGGGTATTCTTTATAATAAAATGAATATTATAGAATTTAATGTTAATTAATAATGTTAATTAATGTTATTATTGACAGCGTTCTCAACTCCATTTGTAAAAAAATTAACTTTCAGATGACACAAAAATTTGTCTCTGAATATTTACATAACCTTTATAATTTAAATGAATGAGATTATATTAAAGTTGATTTTGGTCTTCACATAATTAACTCAACTTATTATTAAAGATCTTTTTGTCTATGGGAAGTAAATTTTAAATCTTCTGACAAAAACTGAAGTCATAAAAAGCATCATAAAAAGCATCCAAAAATACTAAAAATGTTACTTATTATTTAGTTAATTTGTTTATTAAGATTTCGTTTATTTACTTTTTTCCTTTGGGATTGATCATCTATTTGTTTAGTTTAAAGCATTGGCTTTGTCTAAAGTATGTTATATTATCTGTGTTTTATATAGTCTATATATTTGCATTTATCATGAGGGGATTTTACAAGGTATTCGTTTAGAGTTTTCAATTTTCAAGTAACGTAGTGATAATTTGTTTTCGTACCTGCATTTCGAGATAAATTCTGATCGTTTATTTAGTAGTTTGTTTTGGTCTGGGAAGGGGATAATAGCGATTTTCCTAGACAAAGCTTACAGTTTTGGGATATGCTGTTGTAGGCTGGTGTTGTTTTCCTTATTTTGCATGACAAAAATATCCATTTGGATGATGCAATAGACCTTACTACGCATAATGCACCATCGACAAGCATATATAAGTAGTCGATCCTAAACATAACACACATGGCCTGAAGATTGCGCTTAAGCATTAAACAGACTGTCGCTGCTTGGTGTTGACCACAAAACGGGGTTTAGGTGAGATTTTAAAAAAGTTTTTATTAAAAGCTACAAAAAAAGAAATTGTAAAAAGCCATGATCGCCAAAGTCCTGATGGGATAGGATAGGTAGAAGATTTGTTATGAAGAGATAGAATATTAATAACAAATTAATTAAATTAAAAGATTCCTTCTCTCCAAGATATACATCCACTTTTCAGGAGACTTGATTGTAAAATTTTACAGTTTCCTGAAGCATAGATGTAATCTTGTGAAACTTAGATATAAGATACATGAATATTTAATTTTATTTTATTAGAAGAAGACAAGTTAGCCTATCCTTCGGTTCACACTCCTCGCTGTACTTTTGAACAGGCGTAAAGGTTCATCCCTTGTTTCCTATTTAGGATTGGGGTCTCGGCCCCTTCTAAAGTCTACTTCAACTCTATACTTCTAACGTCTCCGCCTGACTATTATTCACTAATTAAATCTTGACCTCTTCAAGTCTAGAATTACCTATCAATCTTTTCTTGTTTCTAGCTCTTACTTAGGCAAATACACACAGTATCCGTCTACCTTGAGCGACCCTTGGGCCTTGTTTGGGTGAACATGAGTATGAGTATATATATATATATATATATATATAGATAGATAGATAGATAGATAGATAGATAGATAGTATAAAAAATAATTTTAAAAATTTGGGGACGGGTTCCTCACACCAAAACAAAAGTCCTTATAGACATACGGATGCAAATCTTTCGTTTTTGTGTTATTAAGTTTAAGGTTTAAAGTAGACACTGTTAAATGTACAATCCCAAATACAATCCAAAAATACACTGACAAACATTTTGCAAATATGGATACAGGAACTGCTTTTGAAGTACCCTCCAAGCGATACAATGAGCTGTACGACTTGCTATCTTAGGGGTGTATGATGAAATTTGTTTGTCCTTGAAAAATATCGCGTCGTCCCTGATTGCATCAGATTTTCATCCCGCCCAGACACTACTGTCTCGACTGTCGATTAGTTGTCCTACGGCAATTTTCTGCGATGAACGTTACTTATTAGTCCCATTTCATGTTCAAGCGAATATTGGGAATAACTTATTTTTAAATTTACTGAGTTTTAAACGCACATATAAATCCATAATTCGCTATTACCTCGGATACAGGGAAATCCAATCATTCAGACAAGGGGCGGTAACGTGTTCATTTATAAAAAAAAAAGTTAATAGTTAACAGCGAATTATGGATTTATGTGTGCGTTTAAAACTAAGTAAATTTAAAAATAAGTTATTCCCAATATTCGCTTGAAGATGAAATGGAACTAATGCTTTTGATTTAATTTTAAAATTAAATTTGAAGTTTTTAGCTTCCTTTTTTTGAAACATGGTTATTACTGTGCAGCGAAAAAACATATTTTATATCATTTAATTTATAATATTTAGGCTCTGTAAATTTACACTAAGCACTGTTTTTGTAAAAATAAAAAAATATCAGTAAGAACACAGGATTATATATCATACTGTTCTTTTTTATATATATGTTACCGATTGTAATAGTAAAATTGGCCAGATCGTGGAAAAGCATAATTATCTATCCCACAAAATGTTTAATATCTAAAAAGCCACTACATTAATTGAGTTTCTTTTTTTCCAGTTTTTCACATAAGACGTTTAACCATTTTGATACCCTTTTTCGTAAAAATCACTGAAAAACACTTTTGAATTATTCAGCTAAGAGAAGGCAGGTTAAAATATTTTTGTATTACACCCACTCTCTTCCCAACTGAGTGATGGTGCTCTTTTTCTCACAGACGGTGCCCAACTGACCCTACTATACCGTGCAATGGAGAAAATCAAAAACAAATAACGCGCATGCGCAAAATTAAAAATATAAAATGGCGACAATTTACCACCGCCCCGTATGAGTTGGAGCCTAATTTTAATTTTGTTATATGTGTATACATATACATGTCCACCGATTCATACCTGTGCACACATAATACACACACACACGCATATATACATCATAGTGGCTTTTTTTATAACATATGTATACCCGGATACACATACTCACACATACCACTATGTATATATACCTGTGTACACCGATGTATTCATAAGTGCACCCTCATATACATTCACACACACGCAACCATATAATACATACACACACACACACACACACACACACAAATATATATATATATATATATATATATATATATATATATATATATGGAGCCATTTGATTAAAAAATTTTCCATTTTGTCGCATCATTTTCATATATATATATATATATATATAGAGAGAGAGAGAGAGAGAGAGAGAGAGAGAGGGTAGACAAATAATGTCGGCACATGGCTTAAACATTTATTTATTATCTAATAAGCGTGT